CCCTCGAGCCTAGCACGACCACAAGGACTGTGCAGCCCGTACCCTTCAGCAACGACCAACTGTCTCCTGGGGCCAGTATGGACGAGGTAGTGGGTAATAGACAGGTAGGCACCTTGTCAACATGCACGTCAAGCGCAGCCACATCGGGGATGTCAAACAACAGACATTCACTTGAAATGACATGATCAAATAAAATATATCTAGTAAAGAACACGGCTATGTAGAAATACCTGTCCCCTAAATTAATATATGAAGTAATTAGGTTAGCAGCGAATCCGCGATAAGTACAGAATGTCCATAAGTTACTTAAAAATGCCACAAACCTAATAAACTTAACGAAGATAACCACAATAAGCGTAAGCAACGAGTGCAAGAAAAAAAGATTAGTCAGGTAGGCAGAACAAACGAAACAGAGTGGAATGAAATTTATCCTGCTTAAAAAGATCTAGTTTAAGTGTGTCGGTTTCATCCAACTGCGGTGAAGAAGCATCATGAATGCAACATCACCCTCGGCATACGGCGCACAATGCATTTACAGTTTTTGCAACAGCACAACATGGTGAAGCGCAATTGTTTGGCATGTCCAGGGTGGAGTTAAACGACAACTTATTAACTTGGTGCCAATCCTCATGCTTAGCAGCGTACTAGCCATTTTATCGATTAACGGAGTCGATTTCTGAATCACCTGCCATTTCAGTCTCATTGGAAGCGCAGCGTTATGAACACTATTTTCTTACGAATCTCGGGTATCCGTTCGTTCCTGGTTTTCGCGTTCCCGTTTGACTGCTTTGCTAGGGACTTCTCCGGAAGTGCATTTTCGCGTACTGTAGAGGAGACGCTCTGCAGCGCACATGCATTTGCATCCTCAGAACACGGCTGGTGAGCTATCGCGAAGATGGTACGAACCGGAGCTCGTTTGTAATTCACTGGACACCAAATGCTAAACTATGGGTAGTGTACCATAAAGTTTTCATTTATACGGACATCTAAAATTAAAAGACGCTGTAAGATTCCTTCTCAACTGTAAATTCTATTGCGGGGTAACATTTGCGTAGCGCCAACATTACTTGTTCTGCTTGCTCGACAATGTGTACAAGGACCATGGGATCAATCATGTAGCGGCCAGATGAATGCACGTGGTGTATGTTACATCCTGATTACGCACTCCTGATTATGCACTCTAGACAATCCGCTAAGTGCATGTAATCGGCTGACAAAAATGCGCGAAATAGCTGGCTTCACAGTATCCTGTCGAAATGTTCTTTCTTGCTCTTTTAACACTAGTATTTTGTCGGTGCTCGAAATACTATCGGCATTACTCGACATTGCAATAATTCTCTCCGTGTTCCACAGACCGATGAAATAGGTATGCATATAAATTTGCAACAGACTACGAATAGACATAGAACCATCATAAACCATGGAACTCAAAAGAAGGTACAGAAATCGTAAAAGAAAACACAACACAACACATTAAAGTCCATGGTTTCCTCAGTGGGCGAGATACTATCCGGTTGCCCAGGCCGAAGTAGGGCGTTGACTTAAGGGACGCCACCCCGAGCCTTTGCCTGAATAGCCTGTTCGCAGGGTAGCGGAGCTAATTCAGGGAATCGCGCCCATTTGGAGCCGGTGACTGATTGCTCAGTTCATACGCCTTTTGTTTGTTCCTTTGTCAAACAGGGGCCCAATGCTCCCCAAAATTACAGTACAAAGTTGCTCGATTATACTGCTTCGCCAGGATGAAGCAAGGGGCAGTAAGTTTATTTAGTGGCGAGTCATGTCCGCCAAGTCACAGGGCTGTTAAGCAGACATATGTGGTTTTTTATAGAAAGAACGCTTGCCAAGCGTAAAGCCACCACGTCCTGGTATATTGCCGCCAAACCATTCGCTTGAACGGGAATATCCCGAATCACCCAACTGGCACCACGAGGAGGTTGTTTGGCAAGCCAGTCGACGAGATAGGTAACAAGATTGGTAGTCAAAGAAGGTCAAACAGGATGCATTTTGTAGTGTCGAAGGTGCGCAAAGTGAAACAGGCGTGTTCTCGAAACGATTTGACAGAGAAAAATGGATAACATGCAGCGCGCCAGAAGATCCAAAACAGAAACTTAGATAACGTACACTCATTTAATGTAGTATTAAAAGGGGAATATCAACATTCCATGATATTTAAACTAAGGAAGGACAGCGGGATTAATCCACCTAGGAATCCTGTACCATGCATCTTGTTTTGTGAAGGAACTCTTAATTATCACAAAATTATAAACTCTTTGTACATGGTTGTGGTTTAAGTTGAGATTGCGCAATCAAGGTTGACGTCGTATGTGAAGTCTCCAAAATTTTAGCCGAACCACCGTCCTGGATCCGTATATGCCAGTTTCGTCGAAGGGTGAAAGCATTTTGCCCGGTTCCCAACTACTTTGGTCAGTCTCCACCTAGTACACTGCGATTCCAAACATAGCCCGGATCGCACAGTAGGATAAGTGTGGGTGACACCAGTTGTTGGCGAAATATGTTTCACTGCACTCAGAGGGCGACATAAGCAAGCAGCAATGGGCGAGAATGACGAAGGGAAAGGTCCAAAGCTTGAAGACTGCAACTGTATAAATCAGGATTGATTGTCTTCCCCAAGTAGGCCAGCATGGTACACAGCGTGTCCACCAACGCACGTGATGCGGCATATGCGGTCTGTTGCTGTGCCGGGAACTTGAGAACCAGCCACGCCAGGTCCTCGTGCAGCTGCAGCGACTACGTGAAAGGGAGGTCTGGAAACTAGGACAGATGTGTACCGCGTCTGAGCTGGATCATTAGCGGTGAATCCCTGCAACGTATGACTCCCTGAGCGCTGGGATAGTCCGAGTGTGCAAATGAGTGCGTGTTCGTACCTTTATGTGTGCTACTGACTTAATCAACTATTTAGGGTACTGCAGAAGCTACGGCGGTTGTGCGCTCCTGAGAGACTTTGCGTTCATCAGAAATGCTATGTTCCACTGTGCATACACGCAAGCCTCCATCTTGCTTGGGAAGTTGATACAGCACGGTCAACTCATGAGTGCTGTGGAGGCACTGACAAACCTGTTGATTTTCCATCATGTGCTAGCGGGTGTACTGCTGTTTCTTTTCATGCACGTGGTTTATTTATCGGGAAAATCTGCGTAAACATGCATTTGTATCCTAATATAAAAAATCGGCTGTTATTCCCGTGTTGCATGTATGTTACCTTATATCCAAATAATATCATCTCCGGTGATTCGAATATTTCCCAGTCAATTATGCAATATGGACAATTGGAGGTAAGGCAACAATAGACGTTACTCACTGCGTTATTTGGCATGATGTTTAAGGGCATCACGTTTTGATTGCCAATCGGTTACCTATCACTAATAATAACTTTATGCAGTATTCTTAGCGCATCGCCCTAACAGCGTAGGAAAAGAGCATCCGTAAGTAGTAGAAGACAAAGAACTGTAGCCAAGATCAGTTATTAAAGAATTCAGTGACAACCAGAGTACAGAAAGCAGCAACCAAGTAGGTGCAGAATTCAACCACAAACTAAATGCAAGGCAAATTCTCCGCGTAGCTGGCCTTCCGTAAGTTAACTACTTTCTGTGAACCATTGAAGTCGATTGTAGGCCTTAGTTGCACCAGTGGTTTGAAGACATTTACTACGCACACTTTCTATCTGTTATCATCTACTTACTTGCATTATTCTAGCTAGGAAAAGGTTCTCATCTGATTATTTCGAGGCTATTTGTGCTTGTGACATCTACGTAAACCGAGTTCTCTTGCTTCCTTTTATCTGGTCTTACAGGACTCACTGTGCCAGTCCCACCCCAAGCTTATCAATGATGGCACTGTGTTAAACTGTACGAAGTGTTGTGTTCGAGAGTAGTATGAAGATATTTTGTGTACTGCCTAAACTGGTGTGTTCTGCTGTCTTATGCTACGAGCCGAATACGGCGTTCCGCTGAGAGTTGCAATTCCGAACTGGCCAAATTCTGACAACGTTCTGAGTGGATTTCGCACCTTGTGCCCTTTACTTTTGGCTCAGGTTCGGTGTGAATATTAAAGTGGTTTAAAATTAGGCGACTACCTTTTCGAAATTCTACTTCACTACCTTTAAAAAGCATAATCAAAATCATACCTTACAATTCCATATGTATAACTCATGTATGTTATCTGACATATTGGATTTTATCCATGTCACCCGCAAAAACTGTGCCAGCTTAGAGCCTGTTAAACAAATTTTCCTGCAGATCTTATATTTCAATTAGAATTGTTTTCTCATCAAACAGTGTCCATCTAATAAATACCGCCCATCAAGTGGCGCGATGCCTTCCCGTTTCCCGACAGATACTTTTAGTAAGGATGTTGCAAGGCTTACTCCTGTAAAGGGACCAACCCATATTTACGCTATTTAGGTAAAGTAACTAACCAACTAACTAAAATAAAACAATTTGCGATTGCCAGTTACAATAAATCCGTTAAACTGAATGCAAAATTGGAAAAGTGTGATTAAACCTTTGGCAGAGATAGCGTGGTATGTCGTCAAAGATTTTATTCTTTTTTGTAAAACCTATCGACACTGCTTGTTGGGATGAAACTGTTAAAGTAATTAAAAATAAAGTAAGGTGAGGCCTCCAACGGATATTGGCCAAACCAGCACAACATAATTCCACATGCAACTGATCTCGACCAATGGACAATAAAGCAAGGATGCACATTAAACAGTCATCCCAACTATTTCCGAGTTGCACTTTTCGCGAGTTTACGCTTCTTTTTCTTTGTTCCAGCATTGGGGTCAATCCTCGGACGCAGTTTCTTTGGCTCCGGTACCGGCACTTGAAAATCTGGCATTTTGCATATTACGCATCGATCAAAATTAGCCGTCACATTCGCATATTCCCCTCTTCCACACTCGGTACAAAATTGTGTGCCACAGAACTTGCATCGTAGTACGGATTGCACCGCTGCACACGGACCGAAATGACAAATCAAGCTGTGGCCACCGCTACGTTTAGATGATGTAGTCTGCTTTCAGTCGGTGGACTTCGCACTGCCACCGATCGATACGTATTCAATTTCTGGATTGATACGCTGAGAAGTGAAGCTTCAAGAGTATCCTGCGTCTGTGTATTTGCTGGTTTAACCATTCCCAGTTTGTGTTTCTGTTTATAAAGTGAGGTGTTTAAGGAGTTTGCAGGCGTAATAGTTATGTTAATCATTTGCATACACATGTGGAATAAAGAGTGACGAGTTTTGATTGAGCAAGGAAATACTGAGTTTTCCGAACACGAATTTCCAAAACGCCAATAAGATAGCCTCAGGATGCAAGCTAAAATTCCTACAAGTGATGCGTATACGGATAAAAGCACAAACGATTTCCCCTTGCGAAGCTAAGGTGTTGCCAAAACATGATGGATGGTAGTACATTCTTAGCAGTTTAAAAACATCAGCGGCAAAAGACGGCTAGGCGAACTTGCTTGTTTTCGGTGGTTCGCATCAGACCAATATACCACAGAAAATAGAAACAAATCAATCACAGAGTATTTAAATTTGATGAAACAATGAGGTGAATTGACCGTTTAAAGAAATCAAGTGACGACACTGGCTAGGGCAACATTAGTGGAAGGGTTAAACGTGGCGTTGTTATATGCGGAAGCTTGAGGCCATGGTAGCTGTAGAGCATGTAGAACTTATTTGAGCACATAAGTCGGGGTTATGGAAATGAATAGCGATTGCCTCCGCTGTCGATAATGAGCGGCAACATATCAATCCAGAATTTGAATTCGTATTGATGGGAAGCAATGCAAAGTCCACGGGTAAAAAGTAGACCAAAATATTTAAACGCAGCGGTGGTCACGGCTTAAAGTGACATTTCCGTCCGCGTGCAGCTGTCCAATCCTTACAAAGATACACGTTCCCTGTAACACAATCTGTACCGAGTGAGGAAGAGGGAAATTTGCGAATGGGACGGCTACTTTTGTTTCATGGGTAATGTGCGTTATTTCGGCTTTATTCATCTTCTCGTAAATTCCGCAACAGGTTTGGCAACTACAATCCATTAACCACATTTTCAAATGGTCATTGCACAGTTCATTGCACAGTTTGAAGTAGTTATTTGAAATTTGGGACACAATTATTGAACAGTCCTATTCGCTTTAGCATCCTTTCTGTTTAATGAAAATACATTCCGAGATACTTAGATGACTTTTTAGAATAAGGCAAATCTACGACACAGAAATTACCGATTATGGGCTATCTTTGCACCTCTCCAATAAACCACACTTACTTGCAGCTTGGTTGAATTAGGGCTGCGAGTGATATTTCACCCGACAGAATATCGTCAATGATTCTTTGCAAGCTTCTATCTGCATAAATTGCATCATCTTTATATAAAAATTGGTGCTAATTCTTTCCAATTAGTGCCACTAAAATAGAGAAGACTCGTGCTGAAGGACCAATGATTTATTTAATTGTAAAAATAAACCCATATTGGCAAAAACATCTGTTACGCCTTGAGACCGTCTGTTATATAATACTGCCCTAGTCTAAGACTCATGAGAGACTACATTTGATTAGAGTCCAGTGAATGAAAATGGTTGATAAATGCAGTACCATGAGCGACAAAATATTTAAAATCGCTAAGTGCTAAATTACATCCAGATAAATAAAACTTTGGCGTCTACTCTTACTTTTCTGAGAATGCGAGTAATACTTAGAGAGGACATAACGACACGTTATATATTTCCAATGCAGCAGTGCCGTATACTGCGAAAGCATGACTTTGTCAGCGTTTGCGTGCTAATCGTGCAATCCTGTGCTCTGTGTCAAATTGGACTAATCCCCTCACATTCTTGTGCCACATCTTCGGAAGTACGCTCAACCGCTTCGGATCACTGAGCTCTATCCAATAGGGTCTATATTTTTGAAGTACATCCAACGACACGCTGGTACACCACAAACAAAATCTTCGGAATCTATTCACTAAGGCCAACTTGAGTAACTTTTCTCTTTTGAGTCTCATCAGTACCTTTGGGATACCATACGACAGAGCTTCTTTAAGGCTGTCAGACAATACGTAGCTCAGTACTGTACACCACTGTATACCATAGGTACAGGCACTTTTGTCATCTCACGTTACTACCATATTTTTACATGCATTTCACTGCACAAAGCCTGCGTGATTTTGGTTACTCGTGCGATTAGTGACGCACCACCACCAAACCCGCTGACCGGAGCAGACAACAGGCACCCCAAACGGCTTGTCCAGCGCTACCTAAAAGTGCATACCGACCATTAATCCATAGGCCAGAGAAGTTTGTCAACCGGGAATCCAGTGAGCAACAAACCCAAGGTCAACCGTAACTCAGAAGCGTGGAACTGAAATCCTCTCGAAAAGCACGTGTTCGTTCTATGCCAATTCCTACGACGCAACAAATGTGTACACTCAACGTAACCGAGCTAACAGCGGATCGACAGATAGGTTGTGGTTCTGTGAATTTGTTCAGATAGTGCGATAATTATGATTGTTCAAACGCTTACGATAAGGTGTGATGCGTTGGCTGTTACGTCTGCAGACCAACAGGAACTGATCGCGGTATTGGGAGGGAAAGTCTCAGAACTCGAGTTGCAGATTGGTGCATTACGTTGCCCGAATCCTCAACCTGTTAGAAGGTAAAAGCTCTCTAGCAACAACGCTATCCTGTCCAGCGAAAGGCAAACACCGTTATTAAAAAACATCTATGTAAAAAGGCCGGTTGAACGGTCTCTCAAGTTTCACGTAATGCTCCAAATCATGCAGTTACCCACAAATTGCACGATCACCTCCGTCAGTAGCTGGGCAACAACATTTGACCCATACAAATGGTGCAACTAACGGCTTTGCACGTAAAAAATTCTTGCTATTGTCTTGGCCTATCGTTCACGGAGGACGAGCCAGACACCCCCACTCAACAAACCTAAGCTCACAAAGAACTGCAGAACAAACAATTACTACGCAACCAAAAGGCAATGACAGTGATATGTTCAAACGTCCCAGAACCCACTAGCGAATGGCTTAAAAGTAGACAATCCGAGGAGCAAAACCGCAGGGCTGAAATAACCTGCGCACTCGACTAAAAGTTTGCCTAACTAGTCTTACACGCCTTTCCCGAGATAACTCAGTCATTTTGTGCAACCTACTCAGCCGAAATCATGCAAAACTCAAAGATTTACAAAAAGCGTGGTCATATGACATCAGTAGTTGTCCAATCGCTGGCCACTTGTCAAGACTCACACTGCCACGGCTGGTCAGGTTTAACAGTCAAATGTTTCTGCGGTTTCGACGATCGGAATCATCGAGATCTAATTCAATGATAAACGAGGTCTTAACGAAGAGTGTGTGTGTGAAGATAATACAGTTCAAAGAAGGCTGACTCACATAATTCGCTGCAATTCAGCTTCTCCATTGTTTACTAGATTTTCGAGCTGCGTATGTCAGCTGCAGAATCACAGCTAAATTCGTTGTAGGTGCCCGAGAAATCGTCTCCCTCTTCGCACATTCTTCTTTGAGCAGCTGATCCGTACAGTGCACGGACGCTACAACGTGGTTAACTGCACAGACCACCGTTTCACTATACACTTAGGCGTGCAATACAAACTCGTCACGATCGACCGGCTAAAGCCATCATCTGTGAATGAGTGATCTTTTATAATTTTCGCACGAGTGCGAGTGATCGTTGCACCTTGCATCCGCTTAGTATATGAGACTTATATTCTGACCCCGATTCAAAGACTATAGTAATTCTTATATCGTCGGCCAGTACTCGGGTGAGAATGCCCAATGGCAGTCGCAACGGTCAGAAGTCTAGAAGACCGGTTCGTGTTTAAGAATATACGAGGTAGCTATTACGCTGTTTTGTTATATGGCAACTGTACATAAGTTATTCTCCCTTTAATGCTCTCTAACCTGCACCTGTGGCCTCCGTCGTTTATTAACTTAAAATAATACATGAAGCGTCATGATGTCAAGTATTGATGTCGTTAAGTATATAGTATTTAAATAAACGGTTGCATATAGAAATTTGTTTGCCTTAATTAATTAGAAATATTTAGTTGTTTTGAAGCATTACAATGAAAATCACAAGGTGATTTGTCAATGGACGATAATGGTTAAAATCTTAAACTAAACAATTATTTACGGTGCAGTAACGAAATGTAGTTTGAGAGAAAAAAGAAATCTTTCCGAACTCTGCTTTCACAAGTGTGCATAGGAGAAGAGAGTTTTGATGACGATATGATACCCTAATAATAGACAGTTGATGATTTAGGTGTAGTATTGCAGCTTAAATTTGAATAAGGGAGGCATTTTTAAAGGACCGTGACTTATCCCAAAATACTTAAGTGTAATGCTGTTGCAAACGGTAGATTCAAGTGATCTTATCGGTGAACACTCCAACAATTATCGAAATCCACTTTGAATCATCTTAAAAGCCTGTCTCTTCGGGGGCCATACAACTGAGTAATATCATCAGCACTTTCCACGTAATGAAACTTGATTGTATATTTAGACGTTCCACATACAAGGAAAAGACAAGAGAATCGTTGACTACATGGCATAAACTAGCCGCAAAAACCGATTATTCCTTACTGACTAAGGAAGCAAACTGAACACGACCCCTAGTGTAAAAAGCGGCATTTAGCATGCACCGGACCAACTCATCTATCAGGTTACTTGTACATTGACGATTTATCCGGTGTTCTGGAAGCATTCAAATAATCATGGAAAATGCTCTGAATGGGGTTACATATTTAACCCATTGTAGACCAAGAAGGAAGCACGAAGTGTACTAGTGCATTCACTGTAGTCTGAAGTATGCTGGAGAATCGTCCGTTAACATAAGCATGTATATCATTTAAGAAACAGACAAAGGGCAGTTTTCCCAGCATTTCCACAGCACAGTTGCACGCAATCTGGCGATGCTTGTGATATTCGTCTTGGGTGTTGTATTTAGCGTGGCGGATCACAACATTTCTGGAGTAGCGCACGTAGTGACAAACAAGGTAATAGTATTCGTCAATCTCAGCGTGAGAGAATTACTAAATGAAAAAAGAAAAATGGTGTATTAGGGACAATGGGTTAATTCAACCCGTGAGATGGATATTGTTAAGAAAATAAAGACTCATGATAAACTGAAAAGCATTTTGGTGAACTCAGCATAGACATACGTAGACGAGCAGAGAACTTCGCGTAGATGAAGTATAAATCCATAAATCCATTGGTTAGAAATTTGGATGAACTTTGCCTTGGAAACAACATAAGCAACTTGTTTTCGTCCAATGGAATATCCTCATCCAGATAAG